CAGGACCAAATACCTTGCACGTGGAGATAAATCCTGGGTAGATCTGTGAGAGTGTAAGCACAGGGCAGGACTGGGGTTCTGGAGCAGACTGTGTGACATCCTTGATAAAAGGCTCAAAAGTAAAGCAGCGATGGCAGTGCTGTGAGGAGCCATTAGGGCCATCAGGACCATTACAGCCACTGGGGCTGTTGAAGCCATTGGGGCCACCTGCCACCCACATGCCACAGCACTGAGCACAGCTCGTGGCTCACACTGTGGGGTCAGCAGGTGTTCCTTGTTTTGGATGTCCAAGATCATGCAATGCTTTGAGGGTGCAAATGAAGATAATAAGGAATGTCCAGCCACGTTCCTTAAGAACACTGTGGCTATAAAGTAATTTGTATAAAAAATCTTTCTCTCCCAAATGGCAGTGAGGGAAGGAAGATCTGGACGTGCCACAAAAGTTGTATATACTCATCTTTTCCTCAGACACTTTGAAGTCTGAAGGGAAAGAAAATGGAAAAGAATGGAAAGAAAAATTAGATCCATCCCTGTGGAATTTTGCACGGCACAACCACAGCCCTGCAGCCACTCACCTCCCACAGTGCAGGGCCCTCCTCTCCCTCCTCACACCGCCCCTCCTCCTGCCCTCTTGCACCACAGCCATGGCATCCCTAAAGCTCTCCAGAGGCCTTTGCACATCTGAGGTACCAGCTCCTTCACCACAGAGCAGGACACTGCTGTTACCGTTTGAAGTTGTGTCACTGCAGATACAGAGTCGATGCTGACCTCTTTGCCGTTGCTGTTCTAGTGAGGAAATGCATGAGCAGAGCTGTTTGTCAGGAAGACCGGCAGCTGAGTGACTGCATTGCCTGGCATTTTTGCCAGCTTCTTCCCTTCGTTCCCTTACAACATGACAGGCAGAGCACTGGAGCTGTGACAGAAAGCAAACATGAAAATCAGATGAGTGATTCCTGGAATAGCTCCTCAGTATCCAAGATGTTAACTGTGAATACGTACACGAACCCACCAATAAATGAGTCCCTCATGCTTATTCATTTTTCATTTGCCATCCATAGTAGCAACTACATCATCATGCTTTGGCGAAGGCATCTTTCAGGTCTCAGTGCTTACAAAGTTTTGACTGTGGGATGATACTTCTGTCTGTTCTCAACGATGTGCATTTATCTTCTTGACAAATAAAGGCTCAAAATAGGCCCTATGCCCTCTTTATCACACAAACACTAAATAGAGACAAGAGCCTTTTAGGCGCTGGAATGCTCCTCTTTGTTGTTAGTATAAGAACACAGAACTACAACAAGCTGGCAGAAAACCTAAAAACTAGGTTAAGACACCTAAGCAACAGAACAAATGCTTTCTTCTGCTGCATCTGAGAAAACTGCTCAGAGCGAGGCTACTTGTCCTGTGGTCATCAGCACAATTCTAACATGATGGCGAGCACTGTCAATCCAAATGTATCCTGCACTGATTTTTTTATGTAACATCACAGAAAGATGTAAGCTATGTTCAGAGGTCATACACAGACTTCAGATTAACAAAAATGAGGTTGTTTGACATTCTGATGATTCAAGAAAAATAGTACTGCCATGACTCGCCTCCTTTTTTCCCTTTCCTCAGAGAATTCTTTCTTTCTGACACAAGTTAGGATCATGAAGCAGGAGTTTAGATGCACCAAGCAGAAGGCTCTAACCATGAATACCACTTACATCACTGTGTGTTAATATTACTGAGGGCAGCCGTACCAAATGCACATGCATTGGTTTGGTTGTTAAACTACCATCAAGCTAGCTACATTTTCTCCCTTGTTTTTCTTGGACAGATATTTCATTTTAAGAAGTTTTTTGTTCTGTTTGTTTGTTTTTCCCTCCCACTAAACAGACCCCCAGTTGCAGATGTATCTACCACTATGCTAGAAAACTCATCAATTTTCATCACAAATATCAAAGCTAGAGATCCTTTGAGAGGGAAATAAAGAGACCAGATCATTGTGCTTTCTGGAAAATGTTGCAAACTTGTTTACCAGAAAACTATTACAGTTAGAGAATAAAAGCAGAACCATGTCTCTACCAATAGAAGTTTGGATCCTGCAAATATTTTTGTTTGTGACATTTATAAAATTAGATCTCAAAGAAGAAGGGAAGTTAAGGGCAATTTTTCAAGTGTTGGTAGCAACAGCTAGAACCAGACTTAGTTTCACTCTAATTTCAGGGTGGTTTTTCATTTAGAATACATAAAATATATTGGTTGGTGCTTACCCATCAACTTTCACTTGCTTCTATGAAGACCTTTTGGCATTACTCCTTGAATACAAAGAAAACACCATGAATCTCATCTATTTTCCCTGTCAAAAGCTTTGTGTTTTCCCCGGAAAGAATGCAGAGCCTACTTGAGGGTTAGGAAATGAAAAGTGCAAATAGATGCACTGCCATCATCATTATCATCATCGTTATATACAAAACAAAAAACCATGTAAGGATGCATACTTTTTACTCATCAGGCATTATTTAGCGACACAGGTTTAAACATACAGTCTTAACACAATTCTTTCTTGCACTGCCTCTCCCAAGCACAGTGATGGTTCATCTGGAAACAAGGTGGCCTAGGGGCAGCTCTGTCAGCTGGCATGCACAGTACCCAGGATTTATTCCCACACTGAGCCTCTGGATGCTCGGCTTGGCTGGAGTGAGAGAAAATGAAATGTTTTAAGTAAGTTAAAGCAGCAAGAGAGATTCTAGGCTTGTTTGGCTGATTGCTATCTGACTGTTTTAAGATCCAAAGGGACCCCATGAAGTGCCCTCTACAGAGGCAATCAGAACATAAGTTGGTTAAAAACACCACTGTGTGTGTTTCTATTGGATACAACGCTGTTTTGGGGGTATTCTTTCTGGGGTTGAAAATGTTTTAATATATTCATCCTGCACTAATGCCAAAATCTGATACGAGACTTTTAAACTACATATTTTATACAAGTAATCAGTACAATTCTTCACTGCAGAAGATGGGTGTATTGATCAGTACAGACAGAATAGCACAGAACCATCAACATTTTCTAGCATGACTGTAGACTTACATAGGGAAAAAGATAAAAAATTGCTACTTCCTCTTTTTAGGAATAGAAGTGGATTTGGCTTGTTATTTCAGTGCAAAAGAGATATTTCTAGATCAAAAGCTGGACGCAGTGCATATGTCATACTCCGCTATCCACACACACAGAAATATCTATTGTCAGTCCTGACTCCTTTGCAGTGTTAAGTCATGGAACTCAAAAGTTTGGCTAGGGGCAAAAGGCTACGAAATGCATTCCAGTATCTTTAAAGCCTCCCTTAAACAAAATGTTTAAGTTTTATCTGTTTATTCGGTTCCTTGGGAACGTTTTAGATTGTGATATAAATGGCTCATTTAGCTGTCCTTTTGGAATTAGGATGAGCCACTTAACTCAAAAGGCTTGGAAGAAATTATGATAAAACATGTCACGATGGCAATGGTAAGCTCTCAGAAAAGTAGAGATTGCCCTTACTATCTTAACTCACTCCATCACATTATGATACAGCTTTGATTAAAAACCCCGTATTTTACTTCTTGTTTTGGATGAGTCTTAATCAAAGCCAGAAGGGAGAGCACCCAATGAACGAGAAACTCTCAGATTTTGCTTTCAAACCCTTTGTTCAATTTTCATTCTCCTGATGATATCTGAACTCACTGTTATGAGCAGCAGTGCATCCAGGCCTTGAGCAGTGCACCAGGACAGCCTTGCTCACACCTCAGTCAAATACAACTTGACAATAACAACCAAGCATTACATGCAAGCCCACAGGCTTTTTTTTCTATAGCCCAAATCTCAGGGAATGCAGCCCAAGGTGACTCCCAAATGCAATGCAGACGTTGGCCAGCTCTGAAAACCGCTGCAAGACAAAAAAGGCAAGAGTGCTTCTTAGGGTGATAGAGGTGATGGATTTCAATTGTAAAAACCACAAAACTGCTTTATTGGCCTCTGCTTTTAGAGATGACTAAAACACATTTCCTTTATGTAAAATCATACGTAAGATGTTATGTTTCTGTAGAGCCAAAAGTGTGAGTAAATGAATGACTGCGTGGAAAACGTTCTGGTACGAAGTTTCATCCTTAAAACCTGGCAGACGGACCCGTGGGGCGGCCGAAGGCACCGGCCAGCTGCTGGACCGAAGGGGATTGAACGCAGCGGAGAGACAACACGCATAACCCTATGAAGGGCGGTGCGGCGTTGCCAGCAGAGCGCTCAAAACTCGCCTGCTGTTATCGGTCGAAACTCGCGCGTGAGCACAGCAGGTAGGGTCGTTCAGTGAACACAAAACCAGCCCTTTTTTCTTTCTGATCAAGCTCTCAAACCGAACCGCTCGTCCCGCCGCGCGACGTCGCCGGACACCCAGCCGCGACGGGCTCACTGGGGTTCGGCCCGGGGCGGTCGCGGCGCCGCAGCTCCCTCCGCCGGGCGGGGCGGGGCCCTCCATGAGTCACGTGCCGCGGGGAGGGGGCGGAGCCTCCAAGCTGCGCGCACCTGCGGCGGCCTCCGCCTTTGTGCAGTGCAGGTGCGGCGCCCTCACACCCCCCCCCCCCCCCGCCGTGACGTCACGCGGCCGCTCGCGGGGCACCATGGGAGAATCCCGATGTTTTCCGACGGATGCGCTCAGCGGCGCGGCGGCTTGAGGCGGCTCCGGGAGCGACGCGCGGGGGGCGGCGGGGATCCGGGCGGACGGACGGCTCGCGTCCCGGCTCTTGCCCGGCCCCGCGGGAGGCATGGCGCACCCACCCCTCCCTGAGGCGTCCTCGGCCGTCCCCTGAGCTCCCCGGTGCCGGGCCCCGCCGCAGCCTGCCGACGGCGCCGGGAAGATGCTGCCGCGGCTGGCGCTGCCCGGCTGACGCCCCGCCGCCGCCGCGCCCCCGTCCCCATTGTCCCCCGGCGGCCGCCGGCTCCATGAGCGCCTCCTCCCGCCCCCGCCTCTGAGCCTCCCGCCCGCCGCCTCATGGCTGCATCGGAAGAAGGGCCCGGCTGCTTTCTCCCGCGAGGCAGATCGCAGAGTGACCCCAGCATCCTCACCGAGCCCGCGGGCCCCGGAGCCGGGGAGCACGCAGGTAACGGCCCCGCGCTCCGAGCAGCGCCGAGCGGCGCGTCGCGATCCGCCGCCGCTTTGCAGCCCGCTGAGATGCAGACAGACGCTCGCTGCAGCAGGCACCGGCGGAGCCCTGAGCTCGCAGCTCCCGCCCGAGTGCTGCCGGGGCTCCGCGGGGAGCGCCACACCTGGGCTGCCATGAGAGCGTGGGGGTCGGGGCTCCCAGCGTAGAAGGGAGTGGGCTGTTTGCGTGGCATCACCATGGAGACGAGAGGCAGCAAGGTCGTAATTAAGCGCTTTCTCCCCTCAAGAAGGTAATTTTCACTTCATGGGGAGCAGTGTAATCTTCTTACGAAGTGTGGCCACAGAGGGTGGTGCCGGCTGAATTACCGGCATATAATATTCTGATTAGATTGGGGCTTTTTCTCCCCTTTAACACTGGCTAATGATGTTTTCAGCTCAACTTCACTTCGAGGAATAATTCTGATTGTCTGTTAGGGTGGTGAGTCAGTAATTGCAGATGTCAGCACCTGAGCAATGACGACCCCTTTAGAGGAAAAAGAAACAATTAACTGCATTGCTTTAATGTGGTGTGATTGCAAAGGAAGACCCAGCAATAAGCTAGGGGCAAAGGCAAAGAGCCAGTTTACACTGGGTTTATATAAGTAGACAATCATGCAAGCCCTGGAAGAGAAAAAGAGTAATCAAAATAGCACAAGACAATGAATGGAGCATTGATACTCCCTGCTGAATGCTGAATTCTAAACCCAGAAATAGGTCTGGGTCAGGCACTGTCAGCCTGAAAGAGGTAGTGCAAAACTGCATTTAGGGACTGAACTCCAGGTCTGGTTTATTTCAGATTACTGTGTGAATAAAATGATTCAGTCTGTTTTTGATACACCTGCCACACTGTTCCCTTCTGATCCAACGTGTGTGTTAATACTCGTCACTATTTTAAGTTTTCTCAATTATTTGTTTTTTTTTTTTTTTTTTTTTTTTTTTTTTTTAAATAAATCAAGCTATTCTGAGCACCTTGGTCTAGAATTAAATAGAAATTAAATTAAGCAAAACAATAGATGATTTGTCTCTAATGCCCAACAGTTCCAATACCGTAAGTAAAGGGAACAAAGGACTCTAACATGAACTGCTCCACTCACTCCCAAAGGGGCAATCTTGACTGAAAGGAATGTATGTTTCTGCCATTTGATTTCTGAAAGCAGAAGTGACTAATGAAAGGATTATATATTCAATCTCACTTTTAATTCACCTATGGTGTTTTCTGCTAGACAATTACTTGGACCTTTGTGAAATATCCAACAAAGAAAGTATACAACGTGTCTGACACATAGACAAAGATATTTATATTTTACTTTTTTTTTTTTGTGAGGAGAAAGAATTATCAATACTAAGTAGCATTTTTCCTCCCCTAAAACAGACTTTATCTGGTAGGACAGTGTCCCACTGCATGGCAGAAGCTATAGCAATATACAAGAAAGGATGTCTTTTAAGGTATTGTGATAGACATGCAATATGTGGAAAAAACAAAAGGTGCTAAATACATATGGGTTTAGTTTAGGCGGGTAAAAATAATGAGTGATAGAGCTAGATGTTCAGAAAGCTTTTTCAGGTTTTCTATATACTGCTTAAGTTTGTTTATCAGTTGGTATTGAGCATCTGCATGTTCCCACCTGATAATAAATTAATTAAATATTTTACTCTCATTTTAAAGAATCACTCAAAAACGTGAAATATAGTTGATACAACTGTAAGAATTATATATGCTAAACCATACAACATTTTTTATCTTACAATGTTATTCTGAAAAATTTTGCCGTTCTCATTGTGTGGTCAGAATAAACATCTATGGACTCTTAAGTTACAAGACTTAAGTAAAATGCATTAGGAGTGCTGAATGTTACCAAGTTTGTGTTTACATCCCAGTCCTGCTCACAGACTCGCCTGTTAGAGAAGCACAAACATGTAGGATTCTTTGTTCATTAAAAAAAATTAAATGTATGAGTTAAATGCATGTTTAAATTATGCAGGCAAATAAGCCAATAGCAAAATAAAGGTATGACTGAAGGATCCTTACAGAAACGTTCCTACTTTTGTATGGCATTTGAATAAGGTATTTCTGCTGGAGGTTAAGTCTCCTTTTGCAACATTTTCCTGAATGCATGATGTGGTGGGATTATTCTGCACCAATTCATTTCACTATGTCTACTGCAGGAAAGGATATCAAGGTAGATAATGTAGTGGTAGATGAAGTCTGCCTATTTTATAAAGATTTTCCTGGTGTTCATGTAATTTGTACTCCTCTTCTTGATCAGTATTAATTATTATTTTAGCCAAGCTTTGTCCAGGAGATTTCAGTGATGCTAGACTGCTGAGAATGTAGAGGTGCCAGTAGGCATTTCATATATTTTCCTAAGAAAACTCTGATGCAGTGTTTTACTTTTCCTCTCTCTTGAAACATCACCTTCACAGTTGATTGTGTGTACATAGCATGGTTGCAAGACTGGCTGTCCTGTGAGTTCAAGATTCTTTATCACTGGACCACGTAATCTCTTTTCAGCTGATACTGGGTAATGAAAACATCAGACTCAAGGACTGAAGACAGCAGGTGTTAGTTCACCTTCCTGCTGTCATCTGGTTAGCTGTTATATGCAATTTTCTGATGAACTGTTGGTTGAGATCAAATCTCAAAGGGGATTTCCCACGCGAGAAACAAACACTTAAGTTTGTTGGTTGATCTGTTTCTTTAAAGAGGACTCTTCTTCCAGTGACACATGAAATAACTAAGTAGCTGACTGGTTCCAGTAGCCTGAGACATTAGAAGATGTGAGAAGTTCTGGACACTCAAAATCCTGACTGCTGCCAGCTGAAGTTGCAATTACTCCAAGCATCAAATAATTGAGGCTTCACAATAAAGATTATTATCTATTGTGTTTTTCTTCACAAAGCATTCACTGAAGAAATGAGAAGCTATTCCATAAGCTTGATTTACTGGAAGAGATGTAATCTTTACAGACCACAGTGAATTTCTTAACATGAAAAAAATGACCATTAAAAAACTAGCACATTACTGGCATTTTATTAAATGTTCCTGTAGTAATTAAGATAAACAAGGCATTCAGTGAACCTGACTAGAGACAGGTAGTAGCTACTTAATCTAAAGCAAAGATACAAATTTAGATCCTTCGTTTAGGTCCTATGTTAATTAAACAGCAGCTCCTCACAGCGATCAACTAAGATGCCACAATTGCAGCCTGAGAAGAAAATATGGAGCTAGTTATCTGCTGCAAGCTTCAGTGACAAATAGATAACTTCCTCCAGTATTTACACAGTGCATATTGTTCCTGTTCTTTGCGTAGGGAATAGTAGAAAGATAGGAAGGAATTAATGTTTCTTCCCTTTAATCAAGTCAGTTATTTCCTCAAGCAGTGTTAGATCTCATTGACAGCTATTTTCACGTGATTTCTAGAACTCTGGTTGGAGAAGACTGACTGAGAAGCCTTCTCCATCACTGTGCTAAGCTGTGGTGATCATCAACATCTGGCAAGTTAAAGCTGCTTCAGAATACTCCATGTTTCTCCATGGTCAGCAGCACAGAGCACTGCATTAACTTAAGGAGAGAAAATGGGATAATTCATAATCCTTCATCACTGTTCTTAATTCGCAAAATTCAAAAGTGTTACAGCAAGAAGCATTTTTGTATGTTTATATTTTGTATTATATTTTTAAGAGACAGGTACTATAGGGATATAAGCCACCAAAGTGATGCTGAGGGAAAGTTATAAGGCTATAAAACATTGAGTATAGGAATACTCTATACTTTTATTTTTTAGTTTTTCCTCTTTTTTTTTTTTCTTCTTAAATCTGTAAGGTAGCCTGGATAAACTATAATTCCCTTCACGTGCCTAACAAAGACCTATTAGGGTTATTTTATGCTGATGAAGATTTTCATTAGTGCTAATTACTGACATATTTATTGCTTCAAGAAGTTCTCTGGGTTTGAGTCTTGCACATAGCATTAGGGACTTGTTAGCAATTGCAATGTCATGCTTTCCCTCCTTAGCCATCAGGACGTAAACTAGCAAACTACCTGATGATGGGAGTTGATGGCAGGGAAGGTTCAAACACTCAAACATACTAAAAGTAAAGTAGGTTTGTGCTATGGATATTTGTAAGAAAAAAACGAAAGGCAAAGAGAAACGGGTGCAACTGGACTGCAGATACAAATTAGTGACAGCTTTCTAAATCTGCTCCAGTGACCTTTGCTGTAAAACTACTCATTCCAGGCCCATAATTCAGAAAAACCTGTAATTGTCCATAAGTTAAAACATGTACTTAAGACTCCATAAAATTGATAGTGGAGTGAATGTCAGGACAAAAAAAAAAGAAAGATGCTGTTGATGCCCTGCCTGTTAGCCTGCTGGTGCTGTCATCATTCTGCAGTCTTTCAGATCACTGCAACTTAAATCACGGATTTGCAGTCTTATCCATGAAGTACTTCATTGATTTGATGCTAGTGCTTGAGCCAGCCTACCTACGAAAATATTCATAGGTTTCTTCTACCAGAAAGACTTCGGTCTCTATTTCATTTTCCTGTATCAAGTTGTCTGTTTTGTTAATAGAATTTGTTTGCTCTGAATGGTATTTCTTCTTTAAAAAAAAAAAAAAAAAAAAGTGTGCCAAGTCTCCTACATCCTTTCCCAATAGTACTAATTTATGACCAAAATTCAGCTAGGAAATGGTTTTAACTTCACCATATTTTTCATGTGTATGAAGTTCCGTGATATTTTAAGTTCTTTTACTCAAAGTCAGCAAGTATCTGATCTAATTCTGACTAAGGGCTCCCAGCTGAAGCTTACTGTTCCACATATATTTAGTTTCTCATATGATACCATAGGGACTCTACTGAGGAACACACAGTTGAGACTAGAAATGTGCAGATATTAATTCACATTCCAACTTAATATCCTATTTCTATTGAAATCCAAACTTCAGTCTTGTACTGCT